AGAGAAATGAAGCAGGGGGCGGCGCAGAAGAACTGTTCACAGGAAATGCCGGAAGGCTGGGCCGGAGGACGGCAGCTGGGCGGGGGCACAGCCGCAGAGAAGGCAGGACGAGGGGAGGAAGCCCCTGGCACCTGGCACATCACAGCCCTCCCCGCTGTCCCACAGCCCTTCAGCGGCAGTGCCATGAGCATTCTTAGTATCACTTTCCTGTGTGATTCTCAGAAGGGCTGCGTACTGAAATTTTAATGGAAGGAAATGTCTGCTTTGAGGTTGATCTCTGTTGTGTTGATAATTTATTAAACCCAGCGTAGAATTAACAAGAAATCGTGTGCATTTGTGTGTAGGTATGTTCGACTTTTTTTTACCACAAGGGTATTAAATTGCTAACATTTGTCATGTGGACAAAGAGGAAAAGTGCACAATGAGCTGGATTAATAACGGGCTGGTAAGTGTGTCCAGAGGGACCGGTCCATACTGCTCTCTTCCTGGAAGAAGGCTCCGCCACTGGCCCTGGTCCCGTCCCGCCGGCGCTGGGCCTCCCTGGGCCGGATGTTCGGGCATCTCAGCATTTCGCACAACGGCCCAAGCCTCAGAGGGTGTGAGCGCCACCACCAATCACATGGCAGAAGTGCAGGTGGCTGGGCTCCACCCTGTCTGGGAGGAATTGGATTTGCCTTAGTCGCTGTGAGACCCCAGGGTGGCAGCAGGTGACGCAGCTGGTGGGAGACGCTGCTGTGATCTCAGGCTTTCGACATAGAAGTGTCTCTGGACGGGAGACAGTGTCCGCGCTGCTCCCCAAGGAGAGAGCTGCTGGCCTGCAGAGGCCTGTGGGCGTGGTCACGGCGGGGGGTGCCAGCCCCGCACAGCCTGGCATAGGTCACGTACATGTGATCCTGTAATGTGTGTCAGGTTGTGATGGGATTCTTTCACTCAGCATGTTTTCAAGGGTTGTTCATGCTATGACATGTATGTTGTTGGTTTTTTCGTGTTTTTTTAAATCCTCACCTGAGGATATTTTTCCATTGGCTTTTGGGGAGAGTGGAAGAGAGAGGAAAAGACAGAAAGAAACATCGATGTGAGAGAGACACCGATTGGTTGCCTCCTGCACAAGCCCCGACCAGGACCCAGGCCAGGGAGGAGTCTGCAATCAAGGTATGTGCCTTGGACCATAATCGAACCCAGGATCCTTCGGTCCCCAGGCTGACACTCTATCTACTGAGCCAAACCGGCTAGGGCTGTTATGACATGTATGAATGCTTCATACCATTTTATGGCCATATGGTATTCTTTCCTGTGGATATACCACATTTTGTTTATCCATTCACCAGTTGATGGACACTCGCATTATTTACACTTTGGGGCTGTTACGAATAATGCTGCTATGAATCCATGTCTACGTTTTTGTGTGGACATGTTTTTAATTCTCTTGGTGTCCGTCCACACAGGGGTGGAAATCCCGGGTCCACAGGTAACTCCTACGTTGAACTGTTGGAGGAACAACCAGGCTGTTTCCAGGTTCCCATCAGCAGGGCCTGAGAGTTCGGGTCCCCCCACGTCCTCACCGACTCTTGTCGCCGTGTTGGACTTTGTGACGCCCGCCGTCGAGTGCGCACTGAGTGGTCTCTCGTGATTTCGGTCTGCGTTTCCTGGAGGACTGATGATGCTGCACATCTGGTCCTGTCCTCATTGGCCGTGGTGTATCTGGGGAGTGTCTGCGCAGATCCTTTGCCTGTTTTTGGTTGGGTTGTCTTATTGTATTACAAGAGTCCTTTATATATTATAGATAAACGTCCTTTATCGGGCATGATTTCCCCGCATTTCCCCCGCTATCTAGCCTGTCTGTGCACTTTCCTCACCGCGTCCTGGAGCACACATCTTTTCAGTTCTGATGAAGTCCAGCGTATCTATTTCCCTCTTGTTGCTTGTGCTTTCGGTGTCATATCCGAAACTCCAAATCTGAGCTCATGACATTTACTCATGTTTTCTTCTAAGAGTTTTTTAGTTTTAGCTCTTAAACTGATTGGATCCATTTTGAGTAACATTTTTATATGGTCTCTATTTTATATGGTCTTTATATTAACTTTTTAAAATTAAATGTATTGGGGTGACATTGGTTACTTAAATTATATAGGTTTTAAGTGTTCGTTTCTGTAATACGTCACCTGTGCCCACCACCCAAAGTCAGAGCATCTTCCATTACCATATATTTGGCCCCCTTTACCTTTTACTACCTCCCCACCCCCTCCCTCTGGTAGCCACCATACTGTTGTCTCTGTCCATGAGTCTCAGTTTTATATCCCACATGTGAGTGAAATCACATGGTTCTTAGCTTTTGCTGTCTGATTTATTTCTCTTAGCATGATATTCTCAAAGTCCATCCATGTTGTCACAAATGGCAGTATTTCATCTTTTCTGTGGCCGAGCAGTATTCCATAGCATATATGTACCACATCTTCTTTAATCACCCACCGAAGGACACTTCAGTTGTTTTCATATCTTGGCTACTGTGAATAATGGTGCAAGGACATAGGAGCACATATACCTTTGTGAGTAAATGTTCTCAAACTTATTAACTTTTTATGTACCTTTTTTAAGAGTCCAAATTCATTCTTTTGCGAATGGCTGAAGAACCTTCTCCCAGAACCTTCTGTTGAAAAGGCTATTTTTCCCCATTGAATAGTCGTGGCACCTTTGTCAAAAGTCCGTTGGCCACGGGTGTATGGGCTTATTTCCGGAAGCTGTTTTCCGTCCCACCGAGCTGTATGTCACTAATTCAGGATTGCTGGATTGCCTAGGCCGGCCCCACACTGTCTTCCTTACCTTGTTTCCTGTGAATATTTTTAATTTATGAAATGCAATTTTGAAAATACAAAATTATCTACCACTTTTATGTTATTAAATTAACTGTCGATTCATGTGTTTAATTATTAAATCAGACTCTATCCCTATCTAGTAATAGCAAAAGCATAGGTGAACATATTGTTACTGATGCATATTCATAAGATTTGGCATTTTAAAAAAAAACTTTTTTTTTCTACTGTAGCAGTTTGTTTTGGGTAACCGAATATTTTTTTATCCTCACCCTAGGATGTTTTTTTCCATTGATTTCTTTAGAGAGAGTGGAGGGCAGGAGGGAAGGGGGGGAAGAGAGACAGAGAGAGAGACAGAGAGAGAGAGAAACATCGATGTGAGAAAGACACATCAATTGGTTGCCTCCTGCACGTGCCAGACCAGAGCTAGGGATTGAGTCTGCAAATGAGGTATGTGCCCTTGTCTGGAGAAACAAACTCAAGACCCTTCAGCCCGAGGGCCTGACACTCTAGCCCAGCCGTGGGCAAACTACGGCCCGCGGGCCGGATCCGGCCTGTTTGAAATGAATAAAACTAAAAAAAAAAAAAAAGACCGTACCCTTTTATGTAATGATGTTTACTTTGAATTTATATTAGTTCACACAAACACTCCATCCATGCTTTTGTTCCGGCCCTCCGGTCCAGTTTAAGAACCCATTGTGGCCCTCGAGTCAAAAAGTTTGCCCACCCCTGCCACTGGGAAACTGGCCGGGCTGGTAACCAAATCTTGCTCATATGTCTAATGAATTCAGCAGAGTTCTCTGGGACTGACTGTGCTGATATGAGGGAGTAGGGAGGTTTGCAGATGGACTCCACCTGTCAGGGTCTGTGTGTCAGGGGTTCGGGGAGGGTGACCTGTTAGTGTCTGTGTTAGGGGTTCGGGGAGGGTGACCTGTCAGTGTCTGTGTTAGGGGTTCGGGGAGGGTGACCTGTCAGTGTCTGTGTTAGGGGTTCGGGGAGGGTGACCTGTCAGTGTCTGTGTTAGGGGTTTGGGAGGCTGATTTGAAATCTAAGGAAAGATGAAGGACGACTTGGGAAGGACTGTGTCTGGCAGGCTCTTCACACCGAGAGCTGGTGAGGACCCTGCCCTCTTAGTGAGCATGGCTGATGGTGGGAGGACTGGAGCTGTGTCTTGTTCTGGTCTTTTAGACGCATTAAAACAAGAACGAAAAGAATGAGGTAGCTGACGGCATCGGCCCACAGAAGGCAGTCACCCCTTATGTGGTAGCCGTCAGGGAAGCAGCAGAGCCGCGGGACCACGCGGTGCTCGGCGGCACGGGGAGGCCAGGCCGCGGTCCATGGCCACCAGCGGTCCCGGGACAGGAGCGCCGTAGGGGTGCGCCCAGAAGGCTCAGTGTTTGGTATTGTGACTCGGGAGTTGCACCTCGGTCTGCTAAAATGATTGAGAAGTTCTAAGCCTGATTCAGTAGCCAGAGGCTCCTAGAATATAAACACATTCATTCATTCATTCCGCCCCCTCCCCGCCTCCCTCCCTCGGCACCTATCATGGCGTCTTACCTAAAACACAGGTGCCATGCCAGGCGTTTGCTGGAGGACAGGCCGGGAGCTGGAGAGGAGAGGGGCTCGGAGGGACAGGCTGGGCGCCGGGAACGGAGCAGGGCCGCCATGGCAGGTGGATCGAGGGCCCGATGAGCCGGGAGGGCCGTGAAGGAGGCATCCCTGGGTGCCTCCACCTGTCGCCTCTTCCCCGTGTCCTCGGCGGGAGCGTGGAGGAACGACTCAGGACTAAGAGGTCTGCGTGTCCCTCGGGTGCCACTGCTCATGCTGCACCGACACGCGCCTTTTAATAAGACATTTTGCCAAAAGCATAGCTCGCCTTCCCCCAAAGCCTCCTCTCCCGGCTCAGATAAGTGACTTGAATGCGATGTTATCACAGGAGCACAGAGGCTTCTGCCCTGGAGCTAGGAGATGTGGAGGGAGCGAGTGGCGGATGTGTATTTGAGGAGACTTCGTGGCTGTTGTTTTGGAAAAGACTTTTGACTTGCTCACCCCTCTTGGTAGCTTTTCCTCGCTTCGCAGGAAGGAATAGAAAGCCCCGCATTGGCATGGATTTACAGTGAACAGGACAAGAGTCGTCCCCTTCCCTAGCCACCTGCCTTCCCCTCACTCTCTCTCCCTCTTCGGTTGCAGGCAGCAAGGAGGAGGGAGCTCGCAGCATTTCAGAGCCACGGCACTGCCAGCGCTGGGAAGGGTTGCAAGGACAGTTTTCTCCAAGGTAAACACCACCCTTGTACCAGGCACGCCGTTAGAGTTGGCTGGTCGCAGGGGGACGCACAAAGGCCCGTTGTTTAGTCTGCGAGGAGCCCGGGTGCGGGGAGAGAGGAGGGAGCGGCTGGCCGGGCGGGCGGCCCTGTTACCAGGAGAACCCGTCAGAATCTGGGCGCTCGCTGGCTGGGCGTACCCTGTGTGGGAAAAGGAGCGGGGACTTTTCTTAGACATCCATGCAAACAAACGCCAGTGTGGTTTGACTACAAAAATAGCACTTCGTCTTTTATGAGCCAAGAGTCGGCGATTCCCTCCAGAGGTTAAGATAGAATGCAGACCGTAATCGCATCGCAAGGGGGGAAACGCACACCCTGGTGTTTTACACCAGTAAGACGTGCGAATCTGACAGACGTGAGCCATCCATGCTCTTCTTTAAGGAAAACCTTTCGTTCGTCACCAACAATTGCTCCGTGCAGTGTATGGTTTGGAAAATCATATTTTAATGCCTGTTTTAGGGGGAGGGGAGGTGTGTGGGGGTGTGTGTCAGACGACAGACAGGCAGATGCACAAAGAGAAGCCTGAGAGCGTCACACGGTACGTCTGGAGCAGTAACTGCAGGCGCTTCCTTTATGAATCGTGAGCTCAGCGGGAATACAGGCTGGACAGAGCAGCTGGATTCAGAGTCAGCTCCAGCAATCCTGAATTAGCTGCCAATATTCTCGCACAAATTGCTGTGTCATTTCTGTGACGTCCCCTGGGGCTGCTCCGTCTGGAGCTAAAAGCTGCTTTTGCTCAGCCCTCAATTATATCTGATGAAACGCCTCCTTCCTCCTGATAAAGCTATCCGGACACACGCGCTTGTGCGAGCACACACACACACACACACACACACACACGCAGGAATATATGCTCCAGTTTAAAAGAAAGGAAACTTGTCAACTTTCCCTGATTGGCAGTTGACATATCGTTGCCATGACTGGGTCCCTCGCTTGCTGGAAGGGAGTTCAGATGGGGGTCCTTCCCAGCCTGGCTGTCCTTTCCTGGGGGGAGAGGGGGGATGTCGGAGGGGGTTTTGCCATGCGGCTGGCTCCTTCTCTGTTCTAACAGAGAGGACATTGTTTGCTGACAGGGCTGGCAGCTCTGTGCACACAGCATGGACCAGAGCAGAGCAGGGAGAAGGCACAGAAGCCGCAGCTGTGTGCCGGCTGAGAGGGTTTAAAAAAGACCCTTTACCAGCTTCTCATTCTGTAGACATGGGTCCCAATTTGGGGAAATCATTTCCTTGAAGAGATGTTTTCTTCACATTGCATTACACTGTGTAACCTGCGAAAAGTCTGCAAGGTAGCAGGGTGCCTGCTTTAATCCTTCAGTGATGAGAATTCGACCATGGCGTGTAGAAATCCTATATAATAAAAACCTAGGTGGCGTCACGTGCGACGTCATCACAAGATGGCTGCCACAAGATGACTGGCAGGGGAGGGCAGTTGGGGGCGATCAGGGCAGTAGGGAAGGGAAGTTGGGGGCAATAGGGCCAGCAGGGGAGGAGTTAGGCATCAATCAGGCTGGCAGGGGAGCGGTTAGGAGCCAGCAGTCCCGGATTGTGAGAGGGATGTCCGACTGCCTGTGGAATCAGGCCTAAACCAGCAGTCAGACTACCCCCAACGTGTCCCAGATTGGAGAGGGTGCAGGCCGGGCTGAGGGACACCCACACACACACACTTGCATGAATTTCGTGCACCGGTCCTAATGCTCTCCAGGTCCATCCATGCTATTCAAATGCTAAAAATTCCTTCTAATCCAGTCATCTGCTGTTGGGCACTTAGGCTGTTTCCAAATCATAGCTATTATAAATTGTGCTGCTATGAACATAGGAATGCAAATATCCTTTCTGATTGGTGTTTCTAGTTTCTTGGGATATATTCCTAGAAGTGGGATCACTGGGTCAAGTGGAAGTTCCACTTTTGGTTTTTTGAGGAAACTCCATACTGTTCTCCACAGTGGCTGCACCAGTCTGCATTCCCACCAGCAGTGCAGGAGGGTTCCTTTTTCTCCCCATCCTCTCCAGCACTTGTCATTTGTTGATTTGTTGATGATAGCCATTATGACAGGTGTGAGGTGGTACCTCATTGTCGTTTTGATTTGCATCTCTTGGATGATTAGTGACTTTGAGCATGTTTTCATATGTCTCTTGGCCTTCTGTATGTCCTCTTTCAAAAAGTATCTATTTAGATTCGTTGCCCATTTTTTGATTGGGTTGTTTATCTTCCTTTTGTTAAGTTGTATTGTTGTAATGTACCCCGCAAATCACAGAAGGACGCCTCAAGAAGTCAAATTAAAGAGTCACGTTTATTGCAATCCGGGACTATGAGGGGCCATTCCCAAATCTCATAGCAATAAGATGGTGGCAAAACCAGACTTATATAGGCAAAAATCACAAAGGTATTGATTACATCCCAGGGTTTGGAATGTGGCACCTGGCTCCCAAAAAAGCAGATTACAGAAGCAGAATAAGCATGTTAATTACAGTTTCGGGTCTCGGGGTCACTGAGTTGATAGAAACACATTATCTAGAGCCCTCTGGTCTCCCGACCACTGAGTTGTCAGAACAATTTAGAGTAATTGTGCTGTCCTGGTCTCGGGACCACTGAGTCAGCTGGAACGCACCACCTGTGGCCACTAAAACAATTTAGGGTAATTGTGCTGTCCTATTTCCAGGTACAATAGAATGTACTCTCTAAGACCAGTATGATAACAATCAATGGGATAGTCATTCAACCGATAAGGCATTCAATCGAATGGGATGACTTATACAATTTAGAAAATCAAAGTAACCTGTCCATTGTTAAACAAAGCAAATAGGTACCATACTTCAGTATGAGTTCCCTATAAATGTTGGAGATTAAACCCTTATCAGAAATAACATTGGCAAATATGTTCTCCCATGCAGTGGGCTTTCTTCTTGTTGTGCTGATGGTTTCTTTTGCTGTGCAGAAGCTTTTTATTTTGATGTAGAGAATTATGCTAAGTGAAATAAGCCAGTTGGAGAAAGATAAATATCACATGCTCTCACTCATTTGTGGATTATAAAGAACAACATAAGCTGATGAAGAAAAACAGGTCCAGAGACAGAGAAGCATAGGTCAGACTGTCAAACCTCAGAGGGAAGGCAGGGGAGGGTGGGGGTAAGGGGGAGAGATCAACCAAAGGACTTGTACGCATGCATATAAGCCTAACCAATGGACACAGACAACAGGGGGGTGGGGTGAGGGCATGGGTGGGAGGGGTCAGGGGGCAATGGAGGGTTAAGGACACATATGTAATACCTTAATCAATAAAGAAAAAAAAGAAATACTATATAAACTCCCAGCCAGGCTCTGCCTTTAGGTGAGGCCCGCACTGTGGGAGGTGCCACGCCCAGGTGGTTAGCACATGAAAGGCAGCCAGTGGGGCAGGAAGGCTCAGAGCCTGCTTGGCCTGGAAACGCCCCAGCAGGAGTGGAAACCAAGGCTGGCCTTCACCCCCGCCTCCCAGTGCAGGAACTGCAGACAGGGCTCTGTGGTGCCTGGTGGCTCCAGGTGCCTGGGGACTCCTGTGCATGTATGTGCACGTGCACGCATGAGTGTTGCTTAGTGGAGCAGAGAAGGCTGCTGCCAGGGTGCAGGCTCCACGCTCACAGCGAGTGGGCGAGGGAGGCAGGACTGTGGAGCAGGTGCGCCAGCCCAGCCTCGCTCCAGGCCTCGCTCCCTAAGCTCAGGGGTGTGTCATCGCCCCAGTCTCCGCTGCATTCAGAAGGCCTGCCTGCATGTTTTTACAAGAATTATTCATGTGTGATGCTTTCAGGTACAGTGGCCACAGGCCCCTGCACACCTGTCAGCCGTGGCTCCTGCCCGGAGGGGTCATTGCTGCGTCACGGTGCCAGTCGTGCCAGACCCGCTGCGCTGTGTCTGCCGCTCAGTCTTGCACCACGTGTTGGACAACTTCCTAAGGATGTACTTGCACAACCTTCTGAAAATGTTTAAAGTATATTTACATGATGATATTTTCAAATAAACACACACACAAAGGAAAATTAACCACCGTGTTCCCGAACCTTTCCCTTTCAGTGGTTCTCAGCCAGTGGGTCGCGACCCCTGAAAATACATCCTGCATATCAGATATTTACATTACGATTCATAACAGTAGCAACATTAAAGTTATGGAGTAGCAACGAAAATAATTTTATGGTTGGGGGTCACCACAACATGAGGAACTGTATTAAAGGGCCGCGGCATTAGGAAGGTTGAGAACCGCTGCTGTGTTCCGATCTATTTTGTTCATTTATCTGGTCTGGCTTTAAAGCAGTTTTTATTTGATTATTTTTAACAACCAAGTTAAGGGCTGGCGAGGGGGGTGGGGAGCTGGGCGTGTTGGCCGCTCCCACCAGGGCTCCGGAGGCCTGGTGAGTTTGCAGTGGCTGCCAGCCCCTGTCCTGCCTTGTTCCTTTCTGCTGGAACCACAGTGACCATTGTGCACTGCCCAGTCCTTAGCACGTGCTGGTGACATCCTGGCTCCCACAGCGCGTGGCCACAGTGCGCCCAGAAGCGTGGCGGGGAGCGCCCAGGCAGCTGAGCCGGCGTGCGCCTCTCACATCTGGGCACGTATCCTTGTAGCCATCAGGCCTGGCATCTGGGAGGGGGGAGCAGTCTCACGTGCCGTCTGTGTCTGTTATGAAAGCAACGTGTAGTGATGGGGAACTAGTGGCCACCACCGCCATTCCAATTGACGGACCCTGAGGCGGCACTGACTTCAGGGTAAACACTGCCTGGGCCCTGGGCGAGAACTCAGCCGCTCAGAGGGGGCTCTGGGGCGAGGGCCCCAGGCGGCGCGGGTGGACGCACAGGCACAGATCTTCTGTGCCAGAGTCGGGCCGGGGCTCCATGCGCCCCACCACGGGCACCTCCTGCACCGCACCAGACCTGCCTGACTCTCACGTCCCTCTATGGTCTAGAACACCTGCCGTCCCCACACAGG